GACCCCGCAGCGTCGCCGGTACCGGGGGTCAGCCCGGAGGCTGCGCGGAGGGTCCCGGGGTGCCCCCGTGATAGCGGGGTGTGTGTGGGGGTCTCTGCCCCGCTCACCGTGCCGGGGCACGTCCCTGCGCTGGGGACAGCCCGGGGACACCGGAGGGGGGGGGCGTGTCCATCGCCGGGGGGGCGGGGCTAAGCGAGGGCGCGTCCCGGGGCGTGCCCGGTGTTGGCGGAGCGGCTCGGTGCCACCGGAGCACCATGAACCGCTTCAAGGCGTCCAAGTTCCGACATACCGAGGCCCGGCTGCCCCGCAGGGAGGTGAGTGCTGCGGCGCGGGGGGGGGGGGCTGGGGCAGGACCGGAGCGGAGCGGGACCAGCCCCGCGGCAGCGACGGGGCGACCCCGGGATGCCGGGGCCCCGGGTCCGGCTGCCGTGGCACCGTCGGTAGAGCGAGTCCACGTCCCTAGACCCCCGGTTCCCGGTCCCCTCCACCCGGTTCCCGGTCCCCACCCCCGGTGTTGGTGCCCGCTCCCGGTGCAGCGGCTCCTCCTCGCCTCCCACCATCCACGGGTGTCGGGGGGGGACCCTCTCCCGGGGTGGTGCAGCCCCCCTGCCCATGAGCAGCTCTGGTGCCACCGGCTTGGGGTACCCATCCCCGTGGTGGCCGGGAGCCGGGCCCTGGCTGGCACGGACGGTTGCCCCCCGGCTCGGTTTGGTGCCGGCACATCCCGGGCAGCACCGACTTGCCCGGGGCCAGGCAGGGAAACGTGCACCCCGAGCATGAAATGCTGGGCCCCCCGCTCCAGCCACCCCGCTTCCGCAGGCAAAGGGGAAGCGCTGAGGCCCCATGGGACGGCGCTGAGCCCCGACACCCTCCCCGCCAGCTGCGGAGCTCGGTGCCACCGAGGCCAGGCGGGTCTGGTGGGTCTCACTAGGCAGCACCGAGCCAGGGGGTGCCCAGCTCTGGCCCATGAATCCCACGTTATTCCCCATGGATCATCAGCCCCAACCACGCCGAGTGTCGTGATCCATCTCGGCTTGTGCTGGGTGAGCCACGTTGGGGAGCGTTGTCAGGACACGTAGCCCTTCCAGGGGCTTCCCAAGCTGGACACGCTTGGCACCTCCACGGCACCATGGCTATGAGCGAGGCTGCTGCCACTCTGCCATGGTGGAGAAGGATGTCCCCTGCCCGGGTAGCTCCCAGTGGGGCGGAGGGGAGCTGGCATGGCTACAGCAGGGTGCCTGCTGGGGATGGTCCCACGTGGGGATGGGACAGCGTGGACCAGTTGCGTGGCACAGGCTGCTCTGGTCACCAGTCATGGTGGCATGCAGGTGTGGGGAGTCAGTACCCTTTAGCAGCAGCCCCGTGGCCAGAAAATGCTTGGGATGGGTGAGTGATGCTGCTAAAAAATCTTTGCATCTTCTTGCCTCCAAAAAGAATTTGGGGGCCCCCAGGGCCACCAAAATGTTTGTCTCCCAGCCCTTGGACATCAGCGGTCTTCTTCCCTGTCCCTTCCTGGCCAGGCCGGCCTGTCCTGCACTCGCAGACCTGACAGAGACCTGAAACATCCCCCCCTGAGCTTCAAACGTAGGAGGGGACATGGTGGCCCCTGCCATGGTGCCTGGCCTTGAGCATCCCAGCGTCGTTGGGGACACTGAGGGACAGTGTGTCCTCACCCCGGTGTGCAGGGAGGCATCTGCTCTGCCTCTGAATGCCAGCACCGGGCTCGGCACACGGGAGGTGACATTTCCCATCCAGGTGTGAAACGTGTCCCCGGGAAGCGGGGAGGAGGTGGGAGGTGGATGTCTCCTCTCCGAACCCATCTCAGGTGTCACAGCAGGAACGTGCTGTGTCCCCGGCCGAGCAGACCGGCTTGTTTACGGAGGTGGACACTTGACCTGGCCAGATCAGGAAGCACAGTGTAAACATGAAGGATCACATCTGAGGCAGCGTCCCCCAGGGCGCTCTGCTGGCAGAATCGCCCCGAAAGCTCGCGCTTCCTTTTGGGGCCGTAGCCAGGACGGTGCCATATGCTTTACCGGCCGCCCTGGCACGCTGCGGGAAGGATCGCATCCCCGAGGGCTCCCGCATCCATGCGATGGACCAGCTCAGCTGTCCCTCTGCAAAACCTCGCTGCAGGGGTCCTGCGTGGTACCCCCGGATGCTGGGGGACAGATGTGAACCAGTGACCCCCCTCGCCGAGGGACCAGTGCAGGGTGACAGGGGGGGGACAGATGTGAACCAGTGACCCCCCTCACCGAGGGACCAGCACAGATGGCAGGATGCTTCCTCCTGGGTCTTAGTCAGGCTCCAGACTGGTTCCCCATCCCCGCTGCAGCCCCCAGTCCCACCCGCTGGGTGCAGGGAGAAGAGCCTCCCTTCAGCAGAAGAAGGGTTAACAGGTCTGCCACTGAGCTGGCTGTTGTGACAAGGACCAGAGGAAGTGCTGCAGGAACTGCTGCTCTCTGTCAGGCCTCAAAAGGAAGCCCTGCAAGGAGAGGAAACACGGGGCTCGGTGTTTTTGGGGCTGCGTGCGCAGCTCTCTGCCCTGCTCTGGGGACACGGGGCAGCTCTCTGCCATGCTGGTGGTGGCACAGGCATGGTGACAGCCATAAAACACCCTGCTTGAGGGTTGGACTTGGCCCTGGGTGTGCCAGGGAGCTCTTGATCCTGGTGGCCACTTGAGGTCGGGTGTCTGTGTCACCTGGAGTGGGTCTGGCTGGCGCAGGGTGACATCAGTTTATTGCAAAGACCTCCGAGCCCTTCACAGCATGGGAGAGCCCAGGGCTGGGACGGTTTTGGGCAGAGATGAGCTGCTCCTGTCTCCCGTTCCCAGCAAAACTGGCCCCAAAGCCCCCAGCACTGGTGAGGGGCTGCACTTTTATGCCAGGAGCGTGAGCAGCCATGTTGTCCTGTCCCTCCCAGAGAGCAGAGCCCTGCAAAAGTGACCTGTTGGTGTCAGTGGCCTCCAGGTAGTGCCATGTCCGTCACTGGGGGGGCTCTGTCAGGGCTGAGGGTCTCTAGTGGTGCTGTACCGATGCTTTGTTGTCTCCTGCGGTGTTGGGCCCCTCCGAAGCATCTCCTGATGGGGATTTTCCTTCTCTATCCCAGGCCTGGATCGGGGGTATCCGAGCGGGCTCCGTGGCATCCTGTGGCAACCACGTGAAGGCCAGCTGCCGCTGGATCGCCTTCAATGCCGAGTCGGCAGGTGAGGCACATGGGAAAGGGTGCTGGGATGTGGGATGGATGTGCCCCTGTGGTCCCTGTGGGGCTGGGTGGCCCCCATGCACCCCAGGAGGCATGAGGGTGAGTGGAGGGGGCTCTCCCTGAGGTCCCTCAGAGGTGCTGACAGTCCTGTGCCTCTTGGCTTGCATTGCAAAGCTGGGTGGTCCCACCATATCCCTGGTTGGGGGCTGGGGGGGACAGTTCTGGGAGCATCGTATGGGCGATGGGCAGGCTGGTGACCTGTTCCTGTGTCCTCTCCTGCAGGAGTGCTGGGCATCGTGCCGCTGGAGTGCGAGGATGGAGGCAAGAGGACCGTGTCTCAGCTCTGCTGCCACTCAGGTGAGCTAGGACATGTCCCCTGCCTCTGCCATGCTCTGTAGGAGTCGGGTACCACCTCCCACCTCCACAGGAGGCTTTTGGCCCTGTGTGGGCTGTGTGAGGTGCTGAGTCCCAGCCCAGGATGCCGTGTCAGGCTCTCTCTTTCCCAGGTGAGGGGCTGGGGGAGTGGCTGGAGTCCCCAGAGACCATCACCCATGGGCAGGGTGACCCTGAGGAGTCTCGCTGGTGCGTGGGCCACAAGCTGGCTGCAGCCACGCTGACCACTCTGCCAGGCTGGGCTTCTGCGAAGGAGCCAAACTGATCCACGTCCCTTCATCTCTCGAGCTGCAGCGAGCTCTGGGCATGTAGCTCTTGCTGACGCTGTTCCTCTAGTGCACCCTCCCCATGTTACTCATTGCACGCCCTGAAATTCCCAGTACACCCAGTGCCGGGCTGGCAGAGGAGCTGGGGATGGCATCACTGTGGGTGTACCCAGCTCCAGTGACGGCAGGAACAGGCTGGACCGGTGGCTTCGTTGCCCTGAGCAGAGCGAGTGCCGCAGGGGAAGAGGCAGCTGGCACCATCGCTACTGGTGGAGAAGCATGGCTCTGCCTCCTGCCTGGGCACGGGAGGAGTGTTGGGGAGCCCGGGGTATCCCTCTCCCAGTGTTGGAGCAGCAGCACCAGCCTGGGCGGGGAGCACCGACTCCCCATTTCCCCAAAAAATTGCACCAGAGCAGCCAGTTGGGAGCTGGCCCCAGTGCCACCGCCTTCCCGTGTGCCGTGCCTTGGCAGGGACGGGCACGGAGAGCTGCACCGTGAGCTCCGCCGCTCCCCGGGGAGCGCTGGAGGGGTGCACGGGGAGCCAGCACAACATTAATGGCTTCTTAATGAGATGTAGCAGGAGCCCTTTGAAGCCGGCCATGCCAGAGCAACGCCTCCAGAGCAGGGAAGGGATTTTTTTATTTATTTTTTCTTCTCTCCTCCTGGGGCAAAGGCAGCAAATGCTGCTCGCTTTTCGTGCCTCCTGGGCCTGTCTCTCTGCAGCCTCCTGGAAGCAGAAAAGTACACGGTGACCTACTTTCCCGAGCATGCCAAACGCATCCGAGGGGCTGCTGGTGACAGTGCCAGCTTTTCTCCCATGGGGATCCGCCGCCGGAGCGGCGCGGAGCATCCCTGCTGCCAGCACGCCGAGCTGGGGTGTTACAAAGGGGACCTTGTTACCAGCATGGTCCCGCTCGCCGGCGTCCAGGCCGGCACAGACGCCCTTGTGCTTCTCCCTGTGCCTGCTGGGGATGTCCATCCTGAAATCAGAGCCAAAACTGGGTGGTGGTGGGGTAGACGGGGAGATGCCATTGTGCGGTGCTGCCCTTTGGGGCTCCTGTCCCCCACCCAAGGGCTGCAAGACCCCGATGGACAGCGTGGAGGGGCTCAGGCTCTCACAGCAGAGCTGAGCTGCTCCCAAATGCCTCGGTGGGTCTGGATCTGACCCCTGCTGCCCACCCCTGCCTGCACATGTGTGTATGAAAAGGCTGGGGAAGAGTGAAGGTGGGCAGACATGGTGTCTGCAGGGGTCTGGTGAGGACCAACCTCTGCCTTTCTCTTTCCAGATGTGGTTACAGACTTTGACTTCTCGCCCTTCGATCAGCTCCTGCTGGCTACGGGCTCTGCCGATGAGACGGTGAGTGCTCGGTGCCAGGGGTCTTAGGGGGCACAC